TAGCTATACTTAAGGAAAAAGTTTTATAAGTAAAAGTAAGGCTTAAAAGGGCTTATAAAAAGAAAGAGAGAGCTTTACAGATATAATTAGGTAATATTATAGTTTATAAAGAAAAAGAAAAAGCTTTACGAGTAAGTATAAGGTTTAGAAGGCTTATAAGTAATAATAGAGCTCTATTATAAGGAAGTCATGTAATTCTCTTAATCTCGAATCGAGATTAGAGCAAAATTAAAGACTGGCCTCGGAGCTTATATAGGGCCGCCAGGCTTGAATTTTAGTAAAGCGGCCCCGATCTTATAGCTTATAGCCAAACTAAGTCTATTAATGTCTGTTACTATTATATTAGGGAGCTAGTAGCCTTTAATAAGGTTATTATTAAATATATTTCTACTAAGGAAATAGTAGCTAATATGCTTACTAAGCCCCTATTACTTATGGCCTTTAGATACTATATTAAGGGGCTATTTATACTATAATTACGAAATTACAGGCTGTTTTTGATTTTTGGGTACTAAGGCTCTGGGAGCTTTAGTAAATAAAGCGGTGATTTTTGGAATTATTTCCTTAGGGCTGTTTTTAGTAGTATATAAGGGGACTATTGAAATTAGGGGCCTGAGGCCCCTAATAGGCTTAGTAAGCCAAGGAACAGAGCCTTAGGGGCTATGTACTAATGAGGCTTATTACTGAGTAGATTATACCCTGTAAGGTTATATCAGGGCATAATATGCCCTGTAAGGCTAAATCAGTTCAGCTGAGGTTGAATGGTTTAGTATAAGGCTCTCTGGTTTAGGGGTTTAGTGCATGTGACTTAGGGGGTTCAGGGCTATATATACGGGCTACTTACCACTGTAGAACAGCAGTCAATTCAGTACGTTTTACTTGGTTTACATTGCAAGCATGTGACCCTAGCTTTAGCTAGTTCAACATAGCTTACTCGTACTAACGCAGAAATTGCAGACTCGGCTTCAGAACTAGGACTACAAGATGAAGAACTTGAAAGTGACGAGGAAGTTATAAGCGGCATTATTCATGACAATAACACCAAAATAATCACTGACACAACTGATTTTAATGCATGTATGGTGCTTGCAAGAACTTGGTTCCGGGATTGCCAGAGTAATCACTTACGCTATGGCAGAACTCTTGCGACTAACCAACCGCAGTCCTCCAAAATCAAGTTTGTTCGTGGGGGCTTGATCCGGCGACGACTACCAAGCCGTTTACTTTACTTGGAAACAACGTCAGCGCTGCGCCTCTGCTCCGCACCCACATTACCCTCCGGGACAAAATACATGACTTTAAGTCACTGCTGGGGCAAGGCGACTACACTTAGACTTGAAAAACATGGTTTATCTGCTTTCCTGCAAGATATACCTTTAGACGCCCGCCCACAAACCTTCAAAGATGTGATCATAATCACACAAAAATGGTTTCATTGCCGGTACCTATGGATTGAAAGCCTCTGCATTATCCAAGATGATGGAGAGGATTGGAGAAAGGAGACGGCTCTCATGAGAAGCGTATATGCATTCTCTATACCGAACATTGCTACGGCGCATGGCTCCAATGGTCGTTCAGGCTGTTTTTCTCAACGAGACCCTATACACGTATCTCGAACGATTACGAAGCCACCCCACGGACTGCCTGGTCATATCTATGAGTTTATGAAAGAGATCGAGGAGGTTTGGCAAAGGTGTGTCCAGTCGGCGCCTCTGCATCAACGGGCATAGGTTTTCCGGGAGAGAATTCTCGCCCCGAGGACACTACACTTTTGCAAAACTCAAATAATTTGGGGATACCACGAAGAACGGCAGTTTGAAGGAATCAATAGCTATAGTGGGCGATTCGATGGTGTGGTAGATATGAGTTGGGATCAAATCGTCAAAAGCTACTCCAAATGCGTCCTGGCTCGCGATGAAGATACCTTGATAGCTATTTCGGGTCTTGCTCGAGTCAAGCATTCTTTCATTAACAGCCCATATATTGCCGGTTTATGGGAGACCGAATTACCCTGGAATCTATTGTGGAAAACCAAAGCACAGGCCGGTCATTCCACGCCATCGTACCCATCACAATATCGCGCTCCCTCTTGGTCCTGGGCTGCCGTCAATGGGCAAATTTCCCTCCACTATCCATTGATTTACCCAAAATTCAAAAGATTCCGCAAGCTATCCAAGACAATAAAGGACATTGTAGACTTGACACAAGTCTTAGACATCAGCATCGATCACGTTAACGATGTCTTTGGACAGGTTGCTACTGGTTCTATAACCTTTAGGAGAGGGTTAATATTAATACAAGTTTCCCCGAATACTAGTTTGTCAATTATCAAAGGAAAGAACCAGATGTATAAAACTCTTATACATGAGTTTAGATTATCTGGCGAGTCTCATTTTGATATCCATCCTCTTCCTGAGAGTTCTGCTATAGTATGCCTATTATGGGGGCTTGGAAACACCTTCAGGCTACTCAAGAGAACCATATATATGTTGAAAGCCTTCTCTTAGACAAAGTCCCTAGCGAACGAGGAATCTATCGTCATATAGGGACATTCATTTCGTTTGAACCATACAGAGGAACGGACTGGGAAGTTGCTTAATAACTCATAGAGGAAGAGGATTATATCCAGGTAGATACTATGTACGAAGATTGCGGCATAAAGTGACGGGATTACAGGGCATTCGTACTGCAAGTCCATTTTCAGGCCACTTTCTACCACACTCACCCACTGAAGCCCCCTATATTTCCAGGCTACTCTCCTGTAAGCACGCTATAAACTATAAACAAGGGGTACCACACCTTTAGAAGGCATGTCCCCTGTGCTTACAGGGGCAGAGTCGCTAAAGGGTCCTATAATAGCTCTCTCACAGCGTCCGAGCGCTATAGTTGCTCCGCCAGCAACACCATAACCCCTGAAGATCTTCAAACCCCTTGCAAATGTCTCACAGCCCTTGTTTTAGGGGTTCAGGCCTGGAGTTACAATGCTTATAGCGGGTGTAGTCCCTTAAACCACACCCTGGAGTCCGCTAAGACCCCTACGCGAGCGTAAATGCCCTGTAATCCCGTCACTTTATGCCGCAATCTTCGTACAAGCGAGATTTTCGGCAATATATATAGAAAGTTATCTAGAAGGCTCTGGAGTAATATGCGGATAGGGTGCTGGTGGGTAGGGGAGAGGGATCGGTGCAGAAGGTAGCCGTGGATTGAAGATGTGTCTAAATGCCGGCTCGGAAGGAGTTTTTGCAGTAGAAAATATCAGTGAGGCTTACGAGGTTTAGGATGCAAGTTTTGGGTGAATGGAGAGGGTTGTGAGTTTAGCCACTCGATTGAACCAGCCTCGAGATTCGTTTTTTGGAGCTGGTCTGAGATGTACCGGTATGTAAATTGAGAAATGCTTCTGCAAATGGGCTTTGGCCGCGGAAACAGGTCAATGGATAAGACGAATTAGGCCAGGCGGCTTTTTTTGAAGTTTAAGAGCGAGGTTAAAGTAAAGCACTTATATCTTTAATAAATTAATTTAATTCGGTGGGTCTGGTTTGATTATAGCCGTGTTTCTAATAGAAATAATATTTCTAATCCTATAAAAGTCTGCCAGATTGTAAATATGAGTCATCTTTTGTTTCTCTAGGTTTTGGGAAGAGCGCACCTCGATGAGAAATGCATAGGCAGGCACTGTGCCATCCCCAAAATCAAGCCACTTTCAGCCTTATGGAGGTGAAATCGGAAAGCCCAAACAACGCCCGGCGGGCCGCAACAAAAAGCAAATCCGGTCGGCTATCTGCTATCTTTGCATTCTGTTCAAAACCCATATCTCTGTTTCGTTCTGCTCTTTGCAACTATTTCGAGGCTACGACAATCACATGAAACAGTAAGTTGCTCTTGTGCACTCCACCGATCAAAAAAGTCTTCCGGCAACACAGGTGCTTCTTAGCCTTGCGGACGTGCAACCGCACAGTGACATCAGCCTTGCCCGATGTTAGGAACTGAAAGATGGCGTCTTCTCTGCTGATAGCACTTCTCTTCGTGTTCGAAGTTGTTACCAGCAATGACCAGTACGTCCCATGGGCTCAAGTCACAGCAGCGCCCCTCACAGTTCATCGAGTCGATCAACGAGACTACGATACAGCAAACCCGCATCTCTATGGATATACGTCAGTGGCGTTGAGCGGGACACAGACACAATGTGACTAAACAATCCTCTCCAGATCAAGAAATCTGCTGATGCAACAAAGGGAGCGCGAAGTCATGCGACACCATTGCCCCAACAATGCTAATCGAAACATTCCAGGACGCGGTATATGGAGGTTGCTGGGCAGTGAGCACAACGGAAGTTCTAGGCTTCGCACAGACCGCTAGTGCAGATTTCATTACAGCGTGTTCCGGTCAGATAGCTATTGGCACTTCGACGACTTGGGACTGGTGAGTTACAATTCCAAACCAAAGCTGGTTCAAGCTTTCAAACTGCTAATTATCAACGCGATTCTTAGTTCTACATTGGGGAATTGTGTATTCAACACGATATATCCCGACCTAGCCTCGACGAGCTCGACACTCGCTGCAACTTGCGTCCAGGCTACAACCGGGAACACTTATATTCATGCACTTACAACTCGTACCCGTAAGAATGGACGACTTTTCGAGTTAGTTTATCAACTAATAGCAATTTAGAAACTTCAACCACTCCTCCAACGAACCCTGGCCCTGCTTCCCCGACTGCAACACTGGGAGGAGGGTCTAATAGACTGCCAACCGGGGATATCATTGCATTGGCTATTGGTCTCGGAGTTGGAGTTCCTACCCTCGTGGTAATGATCTGCGCTTGGTTATGCCCTTGTTCACCCATAAGCTTCAATCGCCGACGTCGGGAGCATTGAAGGGGCAGTTGACGAGCTTGGATGCGTCGGTCCTTTCAGTTGATTGGTGATTTTGGTGGTGCGAATGGAGAAGTTCAGAAATTTTCTACTGTTTGACACGATATCTTTGTGAGTTGCCATATTCGCATGGCGGCAGTATTGTTAATGAGCAACGCGGTGGAGATTGCGAAATGTGAGTATTGTGATTGTGCGAGTGTGAAAGGGGGAAGAGAGAGGCTAGCCGATGGTATTCAGATTCATTTAGAAAGGAATCCGCCGTTATCATCACCAACCATCCAGTTGGCTGCACCGTCGCCGCCTTGAAAGATATACTTTTTGGCATGGTCTTTCACGTGGCCCCTGAGTCTATAATGATGAAGACCCTGGCTGATGGAATCATTACGCAAGTTAGGATAGAGGACCCACAATTCGCCAAACTTAGGATAGAAGTCAAACCAAATTCTAGGAAAGCTTGGTCATGGAGAGCTCAGTATTCTCCCAATCCAAGTCAGATCCAGCCAAGGAACTACAGCAACAAATCCATTGCAAATGCCAACTGTCATTTGCTAATGGAGCAACGCTTCGTGGACCGCTCAGTTGCTCAGTTCAAGTGAGAAACTTGCAAAGCGAAACTGATCAGGACCAATTTGATACTATTACGGGACTTCCATCGCCTTCATACTTCACCCTTGGACCACCCTCTCATTCCTACCCAGAATCTCGATCCGAATCTGTCGTTAAATATCTCTCGGAACAAGGCATGGAATCATGGACAGTCATTCCAACGGATGGAACTTATCGAGGCAAAGCTGCGGCCAAGTTTGAAAGCAGAGAGACTGCCTCGCGTGCCATTGCAGCTTTGAACAACACAGAAGTCAAGGAGCTTGGTCGCTCGAAATTGTTTCTTGCCCACCAGTACTCTGTTAAACTTTCTACTCCTACCGACATCCTTACCGCTGTCAAAGAGCAAATTGAAACTCCGGAGCAAAATCTACGCGAAAATGGCCATGTGAGACTAAAATGTTACCCCCCACCCAACGGCACATCCAGATACTCATCAATACGCGTAAGCAATAGTATTATGATATATAATAGTAAGCCTTGCTCCACAATGACTTTTGCTTCCCACCGACACCAGTGTTACTCGAGCCTGGTCTTCCAAAGATCTACATTTTTATTTTTATTTTACAAAATCAATAATAACTCACGAGGGTCAAGTAGGACATGTGGAAACAAGTGGTTCTTTGCGACTTCTTCACTATTAGGTCTTCGTCGGCCCGTTCAGGGTGTCACGTGCTGTGCACAGGCATATATATAGCTTCTTCACCGCCATTAGGGCTCCATCATTCTTACATATTTACACAAACACACCCACATTCCACTTCCACAGCTTGTCCAGGCCGTGACACAGAGCTATTCTGAATTCCGCACGACCTATAGAACACCAACCATCTCAGCCAATTTTGTGCTCATGATAGTAGAGAGATATTGCGAGGACAGTTGTATATTATTTTGGAGACCGCAGGGAACAGAATGATCCGAGAAACGCAGATACAAGTCTTGCCGAGTTTCCATCGCGGAATGCCATATGCCGGGCTAAGCTCTCGTGGTCATCCCCAAATGACGGCTTCGTAGCTCTTTCAACGATTTCTTCTTCTAAGATCAGTCAGATAAGGGTATTTTCAGTAGTAGGTGCTAGTTCTACTCACCATGATTAGCAATGATTTGACGGACGTCGACGACCAGATCTGCAGACTCTTGGTCAAGACCCCCTTTCACATCGATTTCAGGTCCATCTCTGATAGGGTTATAAACACGAGCACTGTTGTGTGCCTTTGGGGTTTGATGGGTCCTGTAAATTCCGTGGAAAAGTTCGAGAAGGTGGTTATAAAGGAGATCGTCCAGCTTGCGACAAGAGATTCGATAGTGGCTTGGGATGATGGGACATCCTGCTCCGCGCCAATGACCCGAGTATGCATCGCAAAGGCGTCCATTGCAATCTGTGCCTCTTCAATGCACATGCATAGTATCAGAGCAACACAAAAACATGACGCCCATGCCGCTTTAGATCTGGTTTTAAGCTCCTTTTCTAAATCTTCGAGAACTTCTCTCATTAGTTGTTGGCGCAAAGCATGCATGGCAGATTTGATCTGTCTGTTTAGAAGCCTAGAGGCTATATTTGAGTCATAGTCGATCATGGTTAGCTTCCGAATATGACCGCTCAAATGTCTCTTTGAGGACTCGGTTATCGTCAATGTTGTTGCCATTAAAATGTAGGTAGCGTGAAGCATCATTGCTTTCTCCAAAGTTGCAGTCTAGCACTCGCTTAGTACTTTTCAAATCCTGTAATAGGATTTCACTTACAGTTTTCGAAGGACGCACAGATCCAAGGCAGCGGGTAATAGCTTTCAGGATCAGCCTCCTTATCTTATGACTTAGCTCAGCGATGGGAGCTTGTGAAGTTCGCTCTCGTTTGACCACAAATTTGACATGATTTCGACATCTTTCAAGTAGATCGGTTTCGGACTTGTTGAACGCGATAGGAGGCGGACTCTGGTACTCGAATAACGGTTCTCCATTGAACGATTTGTCGCTAATGGTTGCGACAGGTATAGCTTGGTGGCTTTTGGGAGCAAACTCCGATACGGCAAGGTTTATAGGGATATGCTGAGAGCCACAGGTAAGGCCTACCTCAATGTCGGTTCCCACAAACCCTAGACTAACCTCAGAAGACAATTGGCCCACAGACTTGGGCCGAAGATGCGAGACAAAGAGCACTGCTAGATATGAGCAAAGGACACGGACGGTAGTATTATACGGCTGCTCACCAGGGAAAAGAAGATCACTGAAATCCTCCAGGCGAGCCCGAGTGCAAATTCTTTTGCTTAAAGACTGTGTGGCCAGTGCGTTGCAACGCTTGCAGATGTCACCAGGGCTGCACTGGTACGGTTAGTCTTGAACAAATCCAAACTTCCGGTACCAACCCACGGTTATTTTCATTATTACACAAGGAAGACAAGCCCTGAGATGTCTCATCTCCCGAGCATGCTTAGCAATCTCTGGCTTCAACCGACCGTGTCGACGACCAGATTTACGCTTTTGCTTGACATCCTTGAATTCTTCGTGTGGTTTCACTTCTGTTGATGATATGTGCTGCCAATTTGTTGGTTCTGAAGCTTGATCTTCTTCCTCGGTGGCTGTTGATTTGAGACATAATTCATTTTCGTTTTTTCTCGTAATCTCTCCCGGAGACTGGTAGAGTTGTGAACTTTCGGCATTATGGGACGTCCCATATTGTAAAGTGTCCGAAAGAAGGGAAGGCTGTCCAGGTATCATAGAAGACATTCCTGAATAAGAATGTTCGCAAGATACTGCAACAATCCTGTGAGGCAAAGGTAGGAAGATTGTGAGTCCTGTGTTGAAGGTACGGTTGCATCATGAGGGATGTGAGTTGTCTCAAACATTTGCGGAGGTAGAACCGTAAAGGAATCATCGAAGCAGTCGAGTTGAAGGCCACAATCCGTCGATTCATTGCTAGAAGAAATATAGCTTTTGCCAACAGTTGGAGCTTTTGAAACTGACGAAGTCAGGTGTTGGTAATCTGGAGGGTGGAACAGAATGCTATCTTGTTTGTTGCTAACACCATGTTCCAGTAGCCCTAGCCAAAATCAGCAATAAACCATTAGTAAAATGGAAGCAACATACTGCCATTGGAGTCGCTATTGGGAGGAGCTGGGAGAGAAGACTGGTCGAACAGGCGGAAAGCCGTAGGACTTTGCGCGAATAGCGATGCTTTCCTCTCCGATAGATTCGGGGACTCGGTTTCCTCCATTACTCCACGACTTTCCTCTGTATCCAAGAGAATGTGGGGGTACGAGTGGAAGTTGGCCTTTCCTACGTTGGTTGAGATGGGCATTTGCCAGGACTCCACAGTGGGCTTGAAACCATTCCCTGTAAGCACTGCACTGACCGTGAATTCATCCCCTAATACTGGCACTGCATCATTAGTTTCGCCCCAGAATCCAAGTTCAGGAAACAGTCTTTCCCATTCTCCAAAAGCGTTGCCGTGGTTCCGTTTATCACCAGGGTCGGGGTTGTGACTTGAAAATCCGCCGACTCCGCAGCCATCGTCCCATCCATGAAGACCTTGGAATAGGGAACCACCCTCCAAAGTGGCAATAGTTGAAATCTGTTCATGAACGCCTTCCGAATCTCCCTTGTTTTCGTGGTGTCCATTCATATAGTGTTCGGGAATTTGTGTGCTACTGCTGTTGTACGGTTCACGAAGATAAGGATCATAAGGCTGAGGAGCTCCGGCGTGCAACGAGGATCCGTTGTGCATATTGAAGTGATCAGTTGGCTTTTGAGAAGCCATTTGGGCAAGTAGATCTCAGACTACTGCCGAACAATGTGTTCTGCCTGGTGAGTTGTGTTCTGCTCAATTCACAGTTTAAACACGATGTCTAAATGCTTATATCGATTTGGCTCTTGGATCCGGTCAAGGCAAATCTCGTTGACCGGTTTCACAATTAAATGGTATTCAGGGGATACCCCTGTAAAATGGTGTTAGAAGGGCTGCAGCATATCTCAGCCACATACACTGCCCAGCGATGTATCCAACTGCCCATCAGTTTCTCACTGCCTAGTCGTGTAACACAAGCTGTACCCCTACACCGTGTAGGAAAATTAGGCAGCCTTACATCTGGTTATTGACCGGAAACCTGAGATTGGTGCGATTGTGTGCACCACCTCCTTGAGTTCTGGAGACGTGGCTCGATCTAGTTTGGTAGATTTATGCATCACATTAGCGGGCTGATGAGCTTATGAGACGCCGAACCACGCGTGTATTAGGGATTTGATCAAAGGATGAGGCTATAACCAGCAAGCACGAGAAAAACGCAATTTGGTCAAGTATTGGTCGTAGTTATGGATGAGAGAGATAATTCACAGAAGCAGCTAGACCCGCATTCAACTAATCAGAAACGAACAAAAGTGGCTACTAAAACCTCTACGCGATACATCTGGATACCTACGCTCCATCAACTCCTACCACGTTGTCCCAAACAAAGCCAATTTGGCAAGGAAACCACTACGCTGATAATAGGAGAATTCACAAAAGAAATTTGTTATCGTGGTGAAACTTGCGTAGGAAAACTCGACAAATCGTGCAGCAGTCTCATGAACCCCAAAGAATTCTCTCGTTCAACATCACCCACAATTAGTGGAGGGTTGTAATTGATGCCCCGGGACACTATATGGGTCAATGTCCCAGTGGTCCTCAATGTCGGGTTGTGGCTCGAAAACGAGGTCGTGAACCTTTCGCAGTCCCTCTGGAATCTCCCAAGCGTTTTCAGGATCTCTCAGCCACAGTCTCAAGAAGTACCTCTTCGACTCATCGCTGTCCTCGAAAGCGTTACGACCGTGCATCAGTGCAAGGTTGTTGATGAAGCACATGTCCCCCGGCAACAAGTTGATCTCCAACCCGTGCTTCACGACGGTGAAATGTATAGCATCAATGGCTTCTGCTTGGGCTTCTATGAGAGGTTCATAGAGGTGAGACCCTCTAGTACGAGGAAAGTTGTCGTTGCTCGTTAAAGTCCGGCGGGAAAAGTTCAAGATAGGTCTTCCTTCGCTGTTGTTATAGAGAAGAGCATGATTCTTCAGGAAAGTATAGCCACCGGAACTATTTAGACTCAAGTCAGTGTCGTTCATGGGCATTTGATTAAAATTCCGAGAATGACTCACGTGTTCCAGTTGTTCTCTGACATTATACGAAGAATATCTGGTCGCGTTGCAGCAAGCTCATTGTAAACTCTCCAGGACGATGATATGCAGCTTTTACCACCAGATATGGCAGAGTTGAGACAGTACAGTGCCAGTATATCAGGTGCAATGTCGTTGTGGTAAGGCTTTTGTTGTCAGCTATGGGATGTTTTTGATTTATTGATTGCTAAACCACATACCTGGGCAACATTGGAGTATAGAGACGGGCGTGCTTGTCTTGGTGTGTTGGAGAGAACCGCATCGGTAATATGCGCTATGGTAGAAAGAATGTCAGTGTTACAGATGCTAATGAGAGCAAGTGGGGCCTACTAATCAAGCTTCCGTCATGGCTTTGTCTGCCTCTCTGCTCTGCAATATAGCTTGATATACCTAGGTACAAAATGACGTTCTCCTCTCGAGTGAAATCTCTTGGATCGAGCCCCCTTAGGATGAAGAAACCTCGACCGCTATGAAGTTTCAAGCTTAGATCCTGAAGAACCTTTCCTAGGTGAGGAAGTGGAAAGGTCTCCTTTTTGACCTGGGAAAGATCAAGCTTCAGACCTACCACAACGGCTTGTCAGTTTCGGGCCACGGTCTTGGTGAGGTGTGGCAGGGACTGGAACAAGACTCAACTCACATTTACAATATTCTAGACCTGGGCGTATTTCTTTGATGTCCAGTTCGGAGAAACTGCAGACCCACTCATTGCTCGTTTGCAATTCCAATCCACTCCAGACTAGTGGTCCATGAAGGGCTTGGGGCTACCCTTTAGGTAGAGTACCGACACCCCCACTTGCTTGCAGACGCCTTCTGGAAGACTGCAGACGAGCCTGGTGCAATTCAAGATCTGGGACGTACCCAATTCTGACGAGGCTGGGATAGAGTGGAGAGTGCTGGGCCGGATCCACATCTTCCTGCAGCTCCACGTTCTCTAATTTAGCTGTTATACCTGCATTTTCTCCGGAAGAGAGCTGCTGGGATGGCATTTTGAGAAAGATGAAGACGGATTGAAGCGGTGGCGTTCAAGAGAGTGTAAGAAGAGCCTAGTACGGCTACGTGGTTTTGGCCGGATATGGGTAGACAACTGTCCAACCCCAGTTTGCGAAAGCGATTATAGCAATCACTTAGATACCGGCGGAATTACATAACCACCACTAAGCACAACAATCCTTTACCACTTTCACAGCCAGGCGGGCATTAAAGTTTTTGCTTCACGTAACTGGTTGGAGCCCTTTCTCAAATTTGGAGCCTTTGGTCACATGATTTCATTGCACTTGGATTAGTTAAATATATAAAGACATGAGAACCGTTATGCCAGTTCATAAAGAAACTAGCGGCAGCGCAGCTTTCTGCTATATAGTAATATAGGCGCAACTTTCCGCGGTAGCGCCAGCTTTCGATATTGCGTACGCTTTCTAGTCTTGATTTGCGGTACCGCGACCGTATAGCACCGCAGCTTTCGATTTGTGCACGCTTTCTAGTCCCGATTTGCGATACTGTAATTCTAGCTACCGCAGCACTTTATGCGGTAGCGCAACTTTCCGCGATACTGCAATTTTTACGGTAGCTTTCTGTAGTTATATATCGGGAATAGACTTATATTAGAGATGGATTTATAGGGAGATACTCACAACGTATACTATGCTTTATACGCTTCCCCCGTAAATAGCCAAGGGATTATAAGTAAGCTTCGAGAAAGCTTTTTGTTATAAGTCGCAAAATTTATAGGAGGCATCCTCCCCATTAATACTATATTCTTCCAAGCTCTACTAATACATTTCAAGTTTTGGTTGCGACAAGGAGGCAGTCACAGGGGAAAGTGTAGTTTATTGGATGGGGAAGTGCCGTCGGTTGGGCTAGTAAGCATTAGACCACCTTTAATCGATTATAAATGATATGCAACAATTAAGAATGATCTTATCCATAAATAGACTAGCTAATCTTATGCGAAGACGTTAGGCGCAGAGATTTCATGTCTAGCAGACTCCTTTCTGATCTCCACCCTGTGCGGGCAACCGCTCGCAATAATCAACTTTGGCATGCTCCATTAAGCCGGAAAGCATAAGAATAAAAGATCTATTCCTTGCGTATTACCAGGCTGCGTACCGTGGCCATTACGGCAGGACTAATTCGAGGGAATGTCTCAATGGATCTGCACTACCAGAACCAGCCGCTGACAACTATAGCAAGACAGTAGTCCAGACGCGAGCTATTAAAAGCCTGCTTCACTCCTAGAGAACTGTGCAGCTCGGCACACTCCTGGGTTCGCACTTTCCCGGTCTGTGTAACCCCACAAAATTTAGGCAGGGGACGAACTGCCACGTGGGCTACTGATACAACCGCCTCAAAAACCAAACATCTCTCACCAAGCACGTGCTTACGAATCAGATTCTTGTCGTGGTTCCACATCTTGCAAGACAAACCCCATTGCAGGTAAGAGCCGAAAATCAGGGCTGAAACCTTTGCGTTGACGACCAGTCCACCACACCCTTCAGCTGAGTTCTGCAACAAAGGGGCTGAAATGGAAGCATCCAGTCTTAAGCCTAGAATTGCTACCCGGAGATTTAGATCCGGAGCAATTATGATTTAATATGGATCTAAATCTATTGTCTTGCAGCGAACCCCACACCTCGCATATCTTTCTTGAATTTCCGATGAAGTCGTTGGAAGCAATGTATTTCCATAGACAGCGTCTGATTACTGGGCTTTATGGACTCCTCTTCTGCCTCTCCCTCACACGAGCTCAAGATACGCTACCGCAGACGATCTTCAGCCTTCCCAATTTTTCCTCGCAGAAACCATGCGCACAAGCCTGTTTCACCACCGGCCCAATAGGCGGCTGTTTCCAAGACATGGTTGGCGATGCTCTGGGTTGTGTAAATGACAACGAGTGCGGTCTTGGATCTCGCGGCCTTGCTCCCAATAACTGCTATTGCCGGACCGACTTTCAATCAATCGCTGAATCATTTCTTACCTCCTGTGTTAAAAGTGGTTGTACCGTCGGAGACTCCTCTATCGATATCTCGAGCGCGGGTAGCATCTACATCGATTACTGTTCATCCCAAGGCTTCCCTGTCAACGTTCCCGCCTCTACTACTCACAATCCGCAAGCTACTACAACTGTGTACGTGACTGTGTATCCCTCCAGAGCGAATTCCAGTAATAACATGGCTCCTTGCTCAGCGGCAAATATTTGGGGACTCATTTTCTTCATTTTAGTACATACACCTAACGTGTCTTGGCTACATTATCTTGAGCCGCTTTTTGATCTGAGTGCATCGTGCTAATTAACACAATTCTCTCGCAGAGCATCGCCCTCTCTACAACGAACATCGCCTACTAATAGTGGGGATTCATCCGCAGCTCCAGTACCATCAAGCAGTGAGTGACAAGTATTCGTCATATAACTGCTGTGTATACTTTGAGCTGACGAGACTGACAGGCTCGACCACAGATACAAATTCAATCGCGATTGGGGTTGGTTTGGGTGTCGGTATCCCAGCTATCGTGGTGGCAATTTTGGCTTGGTGCTTTCCGTGCGGCCATCGCAGGGCAAGGTTGAAGTGAAGACGGATATTTGTTGGAAGTCTGGGGAAGGCTTGGAACAGAATTGTGGCCGCGTCTTCAAATGATACCTGCAGCAACGAGGCAGCTGGAGAGTATTCCCTTAAACATCATTACCCTGTGCTAGTTCTAAACCTAGTGCCCTTCCCAAGACCGCTTCTCGTCAACATTATGTAGCCAATAACAAGAACTTGTCGAAAACCAAATTGAAAATTATAGGAACCAGGTCCCATGTATATATCCAAGCTTAGGCATTGCTGATTTTCGCCACATGCCACAATACTTGTCCAACTGACTCAATCCTCACCACCTCCCGCTGAACCCGCTTTTGACATTAAATCACGCATTGCTATTATAAAAGCCGGTATACCTATAACAAGAGTGGGAAGGCCAAGACCGATACCGACTCCCAGGGCAATCTTGTCACTCGTGCTCAAGCCTCCTCCTCCGAGGCCAGTAGCGGAATTTGTTACTTGGATGTTGCACATTATTTATTTGACAGAGGCAATTGGCGTTGGAGACTTTTTTGCTAGTTATAAACTTCTTTTCCGTGATATGATATCATTGAGAAGCTACCACAACAGTAATGTGAGGGAAATTTCAAACATTCAAAAGCGAAGCATGAAACCAATCCCTCATCCAGCTCCTTCACCGATTTTTGAAGATTGATTTGAGCTTGTTCAACAAATATCACTCCTTCTACAGGTCGTCTATGCTAACTGTTTTAGTCGCGTTCATGAGCACCCTCTCTATAATAATCATCCGTGGATCCCTAACAAATATTCCGAACAATTTTTTGCTGGTATGCGACCCGCATACCAATTTGTGCACGGACCAGAAATGCGGCCGCTAGTGCGATTTTGAGACCCGAATGGTATGCGACTCTGTTTTTTTTTGCAATAGCCCTTTGTTAAGAAAGCTAGTAAGGGGGATTAATAGAAAAATAGCAGGGGCTTTAAACCCTGTTTTCTCCTTAAGATTTGGTTAAAGCGTTACAAAGTTATATAGTATTAAAGTGGAAGTAAGTTTTGGTGGGGTCGCGACAAAAACACACCAAAAAGTCGATTTTTAATACCCGAATGGTATGTGACTCTGATTTTTAGCATTAAGCCTTTTTTAATAAAGCTAGTAAGGGGGATGTATAGAGATTTAGCAGGGGCTTTAAATCCTGTTCTCCTTTTGAAATTTAATAGTTGCATTCTAAAGTTATATAGGTTTTAAGTAGGAATTCGTAAATTCTTGAATTTTACTAAGGAAACTGGCTATACTTGCAAGGCCCGATTGCATGCGATACTAGCCGAGCTTACTAAGGGAAAGCGGCCTAAGGGAAAGCTTACTAAGAATACGGCCTTAGAGAGAATTTTACTTGAGTAAAAGGTATAAGGCATTTAATATTATAATATAAATATATAAGCTAAAACTATTAAACGAGTTTTATATAGTATAAAGTAAGGGCTATTCAATAAACTACTTTTTAGAAAGATCGGATTAGTAGTTCTTTTTTAATTAATTTTAAATAAAGAATTTTTTTTTAAAAATATTAGATCTTTTAATTAAAGTTTAATTAAAATATAAGATTCTATAAAACTAAGTCTTAATTAGCTTCTATAGAATATAGTAACTCTAAAAATAATATTCTTATATACTTTAGATTAATAGAAATCTTTAAATAAAAAATATAATTTGGTTTTATTAATTAAATATTAAATTTATTAATAAAGGTTTTATTAAAATATTAAATCTAAAGAAACTAAATCTTATTTAGAGTATATAAGATATACCAGAATTCCAAAAATTATTTTTATATATTAGTATTATTAATATAAGTCTCTAATTCAAAAATATAAAGTTTTTTTATATAAGAGAAACTAATTTCTTTAAAAGAAAGCTTATTAAAATTTAAAATCTATTAAACTCAGGCCTTAATTAAGATATATAAGATATAATTATTCCAAAAATAAACTTCTTATTTTAGTAGTATTAATAGATTTCTTTAACTCGAAAAAGTAGATTTTTTTAATATAATAAAAAATAATATTATTAAATTAAAACTATAAAAATATAAAATATAAATAAGATATAGGAATTCTAAAGATACCCTCGTTATATAAGTACTATTAATATAACTCTCTAATTCGAAAAAGTGAATTTTTTTAATATAGAAAAAACTAATATTATTAAATTAAAATTATAAATATATAAAATCTATAAACCCTAAGTATTATTTATAATATATAAGATATAGGAATTCCAAGAATAACTTCTTTATATAAGTAGTATTAATAGAATTCTATAACTCGAAAAAGTAGAATTTTTTAATATAGAAATAATTAATTATATTAAAAATAAAAGAATTAATATAGACTAAAAATTAAAGTTCGGGCTTTATTATAGTTTTTAATATATAAATATATGTTAATATTATATAATATAATTAAATAATTTTAATTTTTCAAATTCTTATAACTAAAAAATATATTTTTCTTAATAAAAACTTTAATATTTAATAGAAATAAAATAAGTAATATTATAACTATTAATTATAATATATAAGAAATTTAAATAATAAAGTTATATAATATAAAAGTTAATATAAGAATATAATATTTAAAAGCTAAAAAAAATAAACTTAGAAAAATATAAGAAAAATTAATAAATCTTTAATATAAATATAAAATTATATAAGTTATATTAATTTATAATATTTTAATTATATAAGAATTCTAAGTTTATTATTAATAATATAAAAAAAAGCTAATCTAAAAATATTTAATAAAGATTAATAAAAGAATAATAAGTATATAAAAAATAAATATATAAAATAAATATATTAAAATAATAAAAGTATATATAATAAGTAAGCTTATAAGAAAAGTTAAAGAAAAATATAAGAAAGTAAAAAGATAAAAAAATATAAGAAAGAATTTAAATAAGAAATAAAAACAAGATATAAGTTAAATACCTAAAAAGTAAGTATATAAATAAGATAGTTTTAAAAAATATATATTAGTAAGAAGCTCTCTTATTAAAATTATATAATTAATAACTCGATATTAAATAATAGGTAAATAGCTATAAATTAGATACTAAAATAATTATATATTATTAGGTTTATAAAACCTTATAGCTATATATTATATATTAGTTATATAGTAGATTAATCGCGATTTTATAATAAGAATATATATATTAAGAACTAAAAAAGTATAATATATATAATACTAGTAATAATTTAATAAATAACGAGTAAATAACTATAAATTAGGTACTAAAATAATTATATATTATTAGGTTTATAAAACCTTATAAATATATATTATATATTAGTTATCTAGTAATTTAATTATAATTTTATAATAAGAATATATATATTAAGAGCTAAAAAAGTATAATATATATAATACTAGTAATAACTTAATAAATAATAGGCAAATAGCTATAAATTAAATACTGAAATAATTATATATTATTAGATTTATAAAACCTTATAGCTATATATTATATATTAGTTATATAATAAATTAATTATGATTTTATAATAAGAATATATATATTAAAAGCCAAAAAAATATAATATATATAATATATATATCTCTTAATAAAACTAATATTATATTATTAATAACTTTTTTTATATTAGTTTAAGGCTAAAAGGCTATAAATTAAATATTAAATTAATTATATATATTATAATAAAAAGTATATATTTTAGGATCTAATATATTATAATATATATAATAAATTTATTATTAAAAGCCTGGAACTTACTTAGAGTTTAAGGCTAAAGGCATTTCCTAAATCTAAGCTCTTTTTACTTTTAGTATAATTAATAATAATTTTTTTAGATATTATTTCTAAATAAGCTAATTTTTTAATAGTTTTTTAATTTCGAATCCTTAGTAAATTATTACCGGATTTTAATCTTTTATTTCTGAATCTAATTTTTTAAAAATATCTTATCTAAAAAAAAGTAAAGAAGAAAAAAAAGAAATAAGATATAAAAGTAATATAACTTAATAAATATATTAGTAAGAAAAGTATTAATAAGTTTCAAATTCTAATTTAATAAGTTATTATTTATTTACTTATATTTCCTTAAGCTTTTTCTATTTATTTTAGATTTAGTAACTAATATATATCTTTTCCTAGCTTTTTTAAATACTATTTAGTAATCTTCTATTTAATAACCTTTCCTTTAATAACTTTCTCCTTAATAACCTTTTTCTTAATAATATCTTTCTTTTTTATAATTTTCTTTTTTAGATATACTAACCTCTTTAATTTTAATTATATAATAGCCTGACTTTTTATATATATTACCTTTTTATTATATCTAAGAATATTTAAATATTATAAGTACTTTAAATATAAAGTCAAATGCCTGAAAAGCGGATATATAAATAAGGCGGTTTTGAAAAACATATATTAGTAAAAAGTTCCTTTACCAAAATCATATAGTTAATAACTCGATATTAAATAACGGGCAAATAGCTACAAGTTAGGTACCGAAATAATTATATATTACCAGGTTTTTAAAAGGTTATAGCTATATATTATATATTGGTTATATAGTAGATTAATTGCGATTTTATAACGAGAATATATATATTAAGAGCCGAAAAAGCGTAATATATATAATATTAATAATAACTTAATAAATAATAGGCAAATAGCTATAAATTAGATATTAAAATAATTGTATATTACTAGGTTTTTAAAAGATTATAGCTATATATTATATATTGGTTATATAGTAGATTAATTGCGATTTTATAATAAAAGTATATATATTAAGAGCCGAAAAAGTATAATATATATAATATTAGTAATAACTCAATAAATAACGGGCAAATAGCTATAAGTTAAATACCGAAATAATTATATATTACCAGGTTTTTAAAAGGTTATAGCTATATATTATATATTAGTTATATAGTAGATTAATTGAGATTTTATAGTAAGAGTATATATATTAAGAGCCGAAAAAGTATAATATATATAATATTAGTAATAACTTAATAAATAATAAATAAATAGCTATAAGTTAGGTACTGAAATAATTATATATTACCAGGTTTTTAAAAGGTTATAGCTATATATTATATATTGGTTATATAGCAGATTAATTATAATTTTATAGTAAGAGTATATATATTAAAAGCCAAAAAAGTATAA